CACAAGTCGGTGGCTGTATGGCCATATGATACTCCTTGAAACCTCCAAACTATTTCGGGACCGGCAGCTTCAATCCGGCCGAATTGAAGACCCTAATCCGCGGTGGAGAAGAAAGGTAGGCTGAGGAAGGTCAGGACTAAGGAGGGTGAACTTGTGAAGTGAGGCCGGAATCTGGGAGCTGAGAACTAAGGAAAGAAGAAGAAAATGGGGAAAGAAAATAATTGCAGGTCTGGAGCGCAAGGAAGAAGAAGAAGGGGGTAGGAAAGAAAAAAAAGAAGAAGAAGAAGAAGAAAATGACACATCATACGCCACGTGCACAATTCAACCGGAAATATGAAGTATACCGGTTATGAGGGAAGAATTGTCATTTTTAAACGGGTTTGAGGGTCTGATTGAGCCGTATTTCAGTTGAGGGGCATAATTGATTTTTTTAAGTAAGGAGGCTTATTTGATAGTTTTCCCTTAAAAATAAGTTTAGATATAGACGTGTGCTCCTCGGTTTCTAACAAACTTCTATGTTGAAGAGATAGTGATTTAAATACCACTGATTGTGGTAGCCCTGTAAAATTAGTAAAAAAGCCAAGGAATTTAAATAGTCTCGAATTATGTGGTCCCATGGATATCTGAATGAAGCTTCGTTAGTGTTTCGCCATTTTAACATAGTAGCCCCCTCTGTTAAAATTCACAGAAATCATGATATTTTCAAATCGCCTTTTTTCCTCAAATTTGCCTAATTATTATTTGCTACAAAATTTTCCCACATATAATCTAGCATATAAATACTTTATTGTTTATGACTCCTTGTTAATGAATAACAAAGTATGTATTCAAATATTGTATTCATATTACTCATATATTCACTCAAACTAAACTGAGGAATTAATGTCCCTTCAATGGCCTTGGACATTACCACGAGGCACAACGCACGTTACTAAACTAGTCTACTTATAAATACATGTACTATCCACTTATATACTTATTATCTACTTAATATCTACTTATTATCAACTTATATACTTATAGTCTACTTATATTTACATATATTATATCTACTTATATATTAAGTATATACAATATATATATTAAAGTATTAAATATAAGTGTACTACTCATCTTATAGTAGTATACTTATATATTATAGGGCTTTTCCCTTGAATATTACTTAATTGAAGCAATTTTCCAAAAAAGTGACCATTTTTATAAAAAGACAAAAATGTGACTAAGAAGGTAACATATATGGAATAACATGATGTCCCTGTCAGATTTTTATGTTACTATTATAAGTCACTATCAGATTTTAATGTCACTTTTGAATATCACTATAACCACCGGAAATTTTTTTGGCAACCTCTTCCGGCAAACCGGTCACTACCATTTGGATGTCACTACTGTCGCTGCCCGTGTCACTGCCACTGTCGCCCATGTCATCCCAACCTGGTATGAAAGGTGAATATCTCATTACGAAAAATAATTTTGATAAGTGGAAGGAACCGGAAAGTGAGAAATGGTGGGCAACTTGCCAACATTGTAAGAAAAATATAAACTTGGGGATTTCGCAAGGATACGGCGACGCTTATAGGCATTTGAAGGCCTGACACCCCATGGAGTGGGCAAAAAGGCAAGGGGACACAGACACAAATATCGAGGTTTGCAACTGGCCAACCCTTTGATATTTTTTAATATGATGATTCCAAACGCTGCTATGTCTGAATTAACTGTTGAACAAAATTTGTCTTATATTTTTTCTTCAATCCTTGCTTTGCGTGCTCATGCTAAGGTTCTTTAAATCCTCAATTTTGAAACTTTAGTCGCAAAACCATTAGAAAGAAGTTATAAGGCAATATGTTTTGAAAAAAGGATAAATTGAAAATGTCTTCACAAACTTTGATGAACGTGTTAGTATTTGTAGTGATATATGGGATGATATTTATCATCATTTGTATTATTTGGGTGTACATTATATTGATCCTAATTGGGATATGCATAAAGATGTTATCGTTTTTTGAGAATTTAATGACCGAAACATCAGTGATAATATTTATATTCTCATTGAGCGTATTTTAACTGAATATAATTTGATTGATAAAGTTTTTGCTATTGGTTTTGATAATGCTAGTAATAACACTGTTGCTATACCTAGATTACGTGAATTGTATGATCCTACTTTGATTGGTAGTTTTCTCATCAGCTTTGTGCATGTCATATTCTCAATTTATGTGTAAAGGACGGTTTAACCGTATTAGACTAATTTGGGGTAATAATCAACTGAAAAAACAATGATGTCAATATTTGAGGGCTAGATGTGTGAACTATTGTGTTTTTTCAAAAGGTTTGTCTATTCGTTGAAGTAGTAGTTATAACTTAAATTGATGTACTTCTTAGATTTAAAGTCCACTTCCCTGCTTTTTTAAAAGAAGTTGCTAACTACTCCCTCCGTCCCTCTATTAAGTTCCTACTTTGACCTACACACATATTTATGAATTAAATTTGACTTTATTGTTTAGATACTGTTTGGCACTGTTTAGACACTGTTTGGCACTGTTTAGACACTGTTTGACACTGTTTTGCACTGTTTGACACTGTTTTGATGTATGATAACTTTCCATTTAGGGAAATGAGAAGGTTATTTTGGGACGGCCCAAAAAGGAAAGTAAGAAGTTAATAGCGGGACGGAGGGAGTATATTATAAATCCGGCTAAGATGGACACTGTTGAAAAAATCTGCCAAGTTTTTTTAATAACGCAACTCTAACTTTTGTCATGTTTATAAATCTACGGCAAACCAATTTTTTGTTGAACCTATTAATCTTGCCGATGCTTTTTCTGAATTTCAACAAGTCGATTATGTTCATTATTTTTGTGATTTTAGGAAATAAAAGTTTTTAAAATATTTTATATATATCCATCTATATATGGTATTGCCTTTGTGATTGATCCTCGTTTCAAACTACATGCTTATCAAAATTGTATAAAGTACTATTAAACTTGTTTTTCAATCCATTACCTATGTACGAAGAGAAGTCCATAGATCCTAAAGAGCAATACAACGAGGTAAGTAACTTATTTCATCAATAATTTAATGAGTTTCATGCATATTATGCTAACGCACCCCTCCCTGAAACCAATTGCTTCTTCATCTAAAGGAAAATCATTTTTCGAATCTACATTTGGTAATCTTATGGGGAAAAAATCAACTCCTATTGCACAAAGCTAGATTAACAAGCTTTCTTTATATCTAACGTTTCCTGTTGAGTACGAAGAAGGGGAGATGACTTTAACGTTCTTAAGTGGTGGATGGAAAAAGAAGGAATGTTCCCGATTGAAGCGAATGTTATCAATGTTGGTGTCAACACTAGTCGTGGAACAAGAATTTAGCGAAGCCGGCAACGTTCTCACGGATTATAGAACAAGATTGAGCGCACAATCTCTTGAGACGCTCATTTCATTTCACGATTAGTTGAAGACATAGAATTCAAGAAGTTTGCATCGCTCTTGACCGTCACTTCATATAAAAAAACAATCGATGCTGGCGGAAATTCCAACTGATTTTCTGCCAAATGTATTTAAAGTTTAAAATTATTTTCAATTATTTGAATATAATATACATTTAATTATTTGTAGCACTTGTGAATTAATTCAAAAAAAAAAGTAAAACAAAATAAAAATTAGCCCGACCCGACATGGGCCCGGACCCGACCTAACCTAGTAGGCTGATACTAGTACATACTCAGACCAGTACCGGACTTGAAATTTTTAAACTGAGGATCCGCCCAGTCCTAGCCCAACCCATCTCAGTCCACCCTAATGTAGCTCATATCATTTCACTTTATTTGAAATTAGTTAGTTTGGTCTAATCTAATCTGTTTAAATCAGTTCTAGTCTGGCCAAGTCTGAATTGACTTGGTAAATGTATGATTTGTGTATTTTATAGTTATTCAAGTCTGATCTGATCTATTTAAATCTAGTCTAGGACCGAAAAACAATTCAAAAGAAAACATCATCAATGTAGTAGTAGACTAGTACTGTAGTACCATATCAAGGATTGGTAATGTAAAACGTCAACGGTAACAGTTTTGTACTTTTTAGTACAAAAGTGAATACTTATGCACCCATTCTTCCACAAAAAAAATGTAAATGGGACCTTCGAAATGTTGTAAACGTAATACTCAGTACTCACCCCCCTTATAAATGTCATCAATCAAAGAACCATATCTCTAACAATTTGGACAATTAAAACTAGTGTTGGACTCAGGCCGGGTGGCCCGACCCAAAACCGGCCCAGGACCGGTACTGTGCTGAACCGGCCCGACCTGGTAGCCCGGCAAGTGACCGGTCCGGGTAGGCCCGGCCCAGGGGGTTCCCGGTGCGGGCTCGGGTCACCCAAAAGCAGAAACGGCGCGGCCATTTCGGGCCCGGTGCCGGGCTTTTTAATTTTTTTTTCAATTTTCTTTTAACTTTTCGGGTTGGGCTGGGTATTTTGGGCCATTTGGGGTGGTTTGGGGTGCGGGGGTTAATTAGGAAAAGGAAAGAAAAATTGACCCGAGGCCCGGCCCCGGTGGTTACCCGGGCCAGTCCCAGGCCCACCTATTCAGAACCGGAGGCGCACCTGGCCCTAGGCCCGGCCCAGACCCTACCCAGCCTGAATACAGCACTAATTAAGACTGACATTAGGCATGGACTAGGCCCAAACGGACCAGCCCGTACCAGACCCGGACCGCAACTGTGCTGTACAGCGCAAACCGGCTGGTAGGGATGGACTCGGGCCGGGCCAACCGGCCCGGAACCGGACCGGCCCGCTACTGTGCGGGCCCGGACCGGCCCGGTGAACCGGTTCGTGCCCGGTTCAGGCCTCCCGGCCCGGTGGTATAGCGGTCCGGGCCCGGGCCTCCAGTTTAGTGAACCGGCCCGGCCGGGCCGGGCCCGGTTCGGGTCGGAATTTAATTTATTTATTTATTTTGGAAGTTTTTTTAAGTTTTGGGTTGGATTAGGTATTTTGGGCCATTTGAGATAGTTTGGGGTGGAGAGGGATGGGTAGGGGTTAAATAAGAGAAGAAAAAAAAATTAAAAATCCGGGTGGCCCGGCCCGGCTCGGTCTGGCCCGGAACCGGACCCGGAACCACCCACCACCGGTTCGGGCTCGGGCCTCATTTTTCTGAACCGAGGCCCGGCCGGGCTCAGGCCCGAACCAGGCTCGAACCGGAACCGGTCCACCCCTACCGGCTGGCTGGGAGTCTGGGACCAGGCTTGGGCCCAAACCAAGAGGGTTTTGGGGTGGGCTACGGATATGGTATTTGGTGGACCAGCCCAAGCCCAAAACTGTTTTTTATTTTTATTGTTTCAAATGGATTGGGGGCCAGGCAGGTGGGGCTGGGTCGGGTGTGGGGAATAAATAAGAAAACCAATATTTAAAAAATATATATTATTCCCAAAGAAAACCCCGGGCCCGGAACTTTCCTGGCCGTTACCGGGCCTATAATTCCCAAACCCAGTACCGGAAGCCCCAACGGGGGCCCGGTCCAACCCTAGTGACATTCGCAAACTTGAAAACACAAAGACAACTTTTCAATGTGAGTACTATTGAAGGGTGAAAGTGTGATTTTCCTTGTCATTTTTCTCATAATTAGCCAATTAGGGAATTTTGCCAAAAAAAAGATACAAAAGACCTAAACGAGTGTGGCATAAAAAAGTTTAGTACTTTCTCTCCAGCAATATAGGGTAACAAGACCATAAATGTCTAAGAAAACATAAATATTATGCAGTCCAAGAAGTGCATCAGCATTTCTCATTGTAAAAGGAAGCCACATAAAAATCAAAGAAAAAACTCAAACTAATGGTAATGAGACAATGCAGAGAGCAAATCCAAGAGTTGGTACAAAGCATTTAACGGTAGCGACGGAGAGAGAGGGTCTGGTTCCTCTTCCAAGTGGCCCTGCGTGAAGGGCGAGCTTTGTGATACTTGGATCCTTTTCCTCTGAGTCCTCTGTTTTGCTTACCTGCTGAAGTCAGACCTCTAAGTTCTCTGTGCTTGTGAACAGGATTGCAAAGCCAGTTGATCCTGGGATCATTTCGGATTGCAGCATGGGCTTGATCAACCAATATGACTTCATAGTATTTATATGTTGAGTCCTAAATATTCAGGAATTACTGCATTAGTATACAGCTGGAAGGATCATGTTGAAAACAGGTGTCCATTAGTTTCAAGGACTAACCTGTCTAAAATTTACCAAAAATGTTTTCCATGGTAACATTTAAACTCTATCTGATCAAAAAAAGGCAGGGCAAAGGGGAAAATACTGCATAATGAAGAAATTGGTTTTCATATTCCTCTATATACCTCATACCGTGAGAATGTTCATGAAATCAAATATTAATAGAAATTTTTAATACACTTGAGGAATGAGAACACGTAAGAGTAGCATCTATTGAATATAAGATGCTGAAATCTCGAATAAGGTGATTTGGTCATGTGCATAGAAGGCTGATTGTTAGACGAGTTGAGAGGTGTGGGGATGAGCAATGGGGGAGAGAGAGAGAGGGAGACCCAAACAGACTCGAACTAAAGGAGTTAGAAGTGATATGTATCTTCTTGTGTTAAAATGAGAGCACGACATTGGAGGGAGAGGGAGACCAAAATAGACTTGAAATAAAGGAGGATTGATCTTTTTTCATCCTTTTTTAACCATTTATTTTATTTTTATCTTACTTAAGTTCTTCATACTTTTGTTTTTTGATTACATATATATATATATATATTCTTTTCAATCCTTTGATCTTATCAATTTTATATTGTTTTCTTTTATACTCTTATCAATTTTATCTTCATCACATATCATCTTCACTTTTATCTTGTTGTTTCTATTTTTTTGTCATGCCTTATCTTTTTATCTTTCTCTTCGTTTGCCTCCAATACATATTACCATGTATCAATTTAGCCTACCCAAGTATCGTTTGCACTAAGGCTTAGATGTTGTTAGAGTTGTATTACAGAAATCAAAATAGAGAGATAGATCTGATTTATTGAGTTTCAATCTTGTACTTTCTTCCACCTTTTCGTTCATTACAAAATGTCCTTTGTTTTCCTCCCTACCTCCCTCTCCCCCCGGCATTTCCTCATATCCAAACTGAGCAAGAGGTCTTGTTTTCCTTGAAAATATGTACTTTTAATGACTAATGATTTCCTCCTAAAAATATGTCCACAGTACGAAGCAGAGGAAAAACAGAAACATTTTCTAAAAGCACATTTCCACATTGCAAAACAAGCCTTGACACAACAAAAAGAACTATGAGCAAACCTCATTGATCCAGTAGGAGTTCAGAACCCGGAGGCCCCCAAGTTTTCTCCCAGCTCGCTCTTCTGCAACTGATCGTTTACTCCTCTGAAACTTCAGCTGAGTAACTCCCTGATTTGTTGGTTTTCCATAAACAATACCCTTTGGAACTGGTCTTTTTCTACCTCCACGTCTCACCCTCACTCTATAAATGACGTACCCCTGATAAGATTAACAAATCTTTCAGCAAATGAAAATGAGATATATTAAGTTTTAACGACGTCAAAATACAAAAAAAAAATTTACTTCGAGACAATTTTATCAAAAGTTCCACTAGAGAATATACATGCAAAGACACGCAATATTCTGAGTAGATAAAGTTGTTTTCAAATCACTTGAGAGAACTGAAAAAAAAAAACATTTTCCATGGTGTGGAATCTTTCAAAATTTCAGTTATGGAAAGCTTATTAATGTGAAAAAACTAAACATGCACAGCAACTAACAAGAGTACAGGCAAGCCAAACAAAATCAAGCCTTTTCCTGAAGGAGGGATAAAGGAATTAAGAACAGGTTAAGCTACTTCTCTGAGAGGAGAATTAAAACACCCATCCAACCTCTTTGGGTTATTGCATACTCACCCAGTAGTCCCACTAATCTAGTTTGTGTGAAAGTAAAACCTTTTTTTAGAGCTTCCTAAGAAAAAACTCCAGTTCAAACAGGTATGTATCTACATCAAAGGATCTTTGAATAAATGAAAAGCAAGCAATATAAATTCTATTGGTGTTCTTGTTTCATATAACCTCTTTATTTTGTGGACATAAAAACTTTTCAGAATGATCGCGTAGAGTATACCATTAGAAGGCCTTTCATAAATACACCAATGAAGATACTTTCTAAGACAGTTGTAATTAATATTATCAAATTGAAAGTAGCTATTGTAGTGACCTAGACCTAAAAAAGATATGGGTGGGAAATGTTATTCACCTCCTTGACTATTTAACTATCACACGCTGAAATTAAGAAATGGCATGCCCATGAACATTAAAAGTCATTGATTAAACAAATAACAAACGACCAGCAGAAATGGAAATCCAGAGTGATAATAGAAAAACCATAATATAGATAAATACACCTCGATTAATCTGGACCCATACACAACATAAGCAATATGACGTATACAAACGCATATTCGACAACGATTGCTCACAGCATACCTGTTTGGCCTTGTAGCCGAGGCGGCGAGCCTTGTCAGGACGAGTGGGCCTCCTGACGCGAACGAGTGAAGGAAGCTGCCGATACTCCCAGCACCTCACCCGAAGCAGGAATCTCATCACATCAGATTGCTTCTTCCTCCAAAGCTCCGAAACATACGTGTATGCACCTAAAAATTTTCCAATCAAAACAACAAAAAGAGGTACTCATCAGTAACGCAGTCAAGTCCCTTCGTCAACTCAACAACAAAAGCGTAGATTTCTTCTGAACCGACGTACCCATCGTCAATGCTGATAGATGGGCAGTGCCGCAGCAGCAATTACGATACTGGTTTGTAAGAGTTTATATACACTAGCCTTTAGGGTTGATCAGGTTGGCACCTTATATTTCCCGGCCCATATTAGATTCTGGGCTTAGATCATCTCAGCATCTCAATTGTATTGGAGTACCCACAATGCTGACAATGTTTTGAACTCAAAAGTCAAGTTTTCAAATTTTAAACATGAACATAAATATGTTAAGATACATTTAACAATTTGATTTTTTTCGATACTGTGTTTTTTTGAGAAATTTATCTTAATAGGAGCACATTATGGTTTTTGACTTGTTTTACCAAAATAGGAGCACTTATTTTAAACATCCTTAAATAGGAGTTTATATATATGTTTAGACCAAAATAACCCTCATAGCCTTTATCACACCCCATGACTGTCGGACCTCCGGCCACCGCCGCCGCCAGAGCACCTCCGGAAAATTCCAGATTTTTTCTGAAAACCTGCCAGATTTCTGCCGCCAGCCAGAATCCGAGCTGCCGCCACCACCAGATTGCCCCAGCTACCAACGAACTGCCTTGGTTATGCAAGAGAACTACGGGGAATTAATTGCCGCAGTTCGCTGCCGCTGCCGGGATCCGCCGTCGAACGCTGCCGCCGCCACACACTGCCTCGCCACTGACGCACTACCTTGGTTGTGCAAGGAAACTAGGGATGCAATTGTTTAGATCAATCAATTAATTAATTAATTAGAATTAGGGGTAGAAAAGGTAAGATTAGTCTTATATGGGGGAAAACATACATGTGGTGGTATTTTGGGGAAAAGCTTGAGTTTTGGTCCAATGTTGAACAATTTTCTCTTTTTCATAGTAGCTTCGTCCAAATTGTTTTGCAAAGACAAAATCTTTTAATCAACTAGTGTGAAGTTAAATCATCTATATTGATAATTTATTCAGTTTTAATAATTAAAATTTTAATGTTCTGAAACTACATTAATTAAAACATCTACAAAGTTACAAAATCCAAATTAAAATTACAACTACATGTTAGGGTGGAATGTGAGTTTTTGCATGGATGTTGTTGTGGTGGGGGTTATGGAGAGAGATGGGAAAAATCATATTAGAATGTATCTCTTGTGGCTCTCCTATTGTGCGGTACTCCCGCACTCAACTCTTCATCTCTTCTTGATTTTCTTTGTCAATAACAAGGGCTGTCGAGCCAATGAATTTTTGTCTCACTTGTCGTCGATTCTACTTCTCTCTCTCTCAAGTTCCCCCCCCCCCCCCCCCCTCCTCCTCGGTTCCTCCTCCCCCTTCCCCTCCTCCTCTTCCTCTATATTTTATCAACTTTTTGACAGTTTCATGTAGTACTCAATATTATATTAAGCCATAAAAAATTAATTATTAAAATAAATTTGTATTGCCAGTTTTAATGTTAGAAAAAATATTGTTGTCTTGGCCAAATTGCCTGATGGTACCATGGACTCTGACCATGGCCCAATTACGAAATCCAGCCCATAACGGGATCAGCCCTCAACGGGATTAGCCTAATAGACAGGATTAGCCTATAAACGGGATCAAGCCCTAAATGGGATTAATATTAATAAGCCGTTGGGCCTCATTAGGAATCAGGCCCACGATAGGAACCCACAACCAGGCCGGGCTGGAGTGCTGGATAGCAAACCTCAAGCTTGGGCGGAGTTTTAGTGAGGTCGAGATATTCCTATGGCTTACGTGGCAGGCTATCATTTGAGCATAGCTGCAGGCAGGACTCAACGGAAGAACGTGGACTTTAAGGAAGCAATCATTGCACAACGTCCAAGACGTTACAGGAGGCTTATTCGGTTATAGTATAATTAATAGCATTTATTATATCGGTTTCCTCCTAGAATACTAGCTCCAAAAGTCTAATAAAATACTTTCTGTATATTTCCTATTAAAGGATATGAACCCTCAAATAAGAATATTGTCTTACGGTGCCCATATTTCATCTCATTCGTAGATATAGCTCTCGTAGTTGGAGTAAACTCCATCATTGCCTTATATGAAAAAGAAACTTCAATTATTATATCTGTTTTTATGTTGTATATAAAATGGTTTTTTCTGCGACAGTATGACATGTTTGGGGGGTCAAACAAATTCATCGAATTTTAGGTTTCACAAATTTATCGAGCTGGGGAAAATCCGAATCAATTTATCGGTTTCACAAATTCCTTAATCCGCAACTAAACCGAATATTAAGGCGGATTAAGGAACAGGGACATGAGTAACTCTTGGCAAGACAATGTCATTGAGTAGCTTAGAATGGTTTGACAATGTCAGGTAAAAATCACATTCATAACATCTTTTGCGAAATTTCGGGTCAATTGCGTGAAGAAAGTGGCACTTTTTGCCAACAAATGAATTCCTACGGAAGTTTACAAGATATATTGACCAATTGTTCAATGAAAAGAGTCCAAGTGATGAAGAAATCATCCAAGGAAGTTCAAAACCAAGAAGGAGTCACATATATGGCTACTTTTGATGAAAATGGACGATGCATAGAGACACATGTTCGTATTGTGATCATAACTTTGCGCATAATTGTCCAACGTTCGTGATACGAGTTTCATTACATTGATATCTTCCTAATCTACAACTCTTATGAAGAACACAGAGCCAAATAACCACCGTAGAATGGACATATTGCTCAAAGAAGTCAGACATTTGCAGTTGCGATGGAAAGTGACACGTGGTCACCGTTTTGACCATATCTCATAAACTACAAATCCAATGAATGTGATTCAAATTCCAGTAGTTAGCCAAGAAAGAGAGCTACAACTTTGGTGAAGACAACTTTTCAATTTGACAAAAGGCGGTCGATCAGGCGGCCGCCTTTTTGGGCGCCTACGAGTTTTTCGCAGTTTCAGCACACAACACTTTGAATGGCGACAAAATAATGGAAGGCTGCCGACGGGGGACGGAGGGCGGCCGCCCTCTGTGGCCGCCTGCGGCGGGATGTGATTTGTGAGCTGCCGGTAGCTGAGACAAGACGGGAGGCGGCCAAAAAGGGCGGCCGCCTACCGTGGACGCCTGCGGCAGATTCAACCCGTGCACGAAGCTTTGTCGGAGAAGTGACCGAAGGCTGCCGGCCATGGCCGGAGGGCGGCCGCCCTTCTGGCCGCCTTCCACAAAACTCCGACTATAAAAGCCCTCTTCCATCCCCAACTCAAAACACACCATCTCAATCCCAACTCAGATAAAAAAGGGCGTCTTCTTCCTCCCTAAAACTCAGATTTCCACCATTGTTGCACCTTCAACTTCAATCTTTCATATCTTTCTCATTTTAGCTCCAAATTGTGAGTTCTTTATATGTATTTTCATCCTTTCAATGAGTAGAATCTGAATCTGTACTTAGTTTTTTCTATCTGTGCTTCTAAAATTTCCAGAAAATTATTCCACTATTTCGCATTTTCTTCTTAAATTTGAATAAAATAGTTGTTGACATTAAATCCATTCCAATTAATTATATAGTTGTTTACTAGCCTCAAGGTAGTTATTTATCAAAACAAAGTTAATTTTTACGAAGTAGAAGTAAATTTTAATTAATTTCGGCATTTAGTTGTTATTATTGCATAAATTAAATTAAATACTCAAAAAAGGCAAAAAATTAGTTTCTGTCCTAATTCCAGTTTAATTCACAGTAATATCACTCCTAGTAGTCAATATAAAATTTAGAACGAATTTAGAATATTTGTAGTTGCTTTTTTTGTATTTTCTAGTTAATATTGGGAAAATTATCAATTAGTTGTTAAAATTGGATTTTAGGTTATAAAATTCGGGAAAAATTCCAGAAGGTGATATTTTAGTTCTACAAGTTTATTTTGGCAGAATATTGTTTTTCGCTATTATACATGCTTAATTCCTTGTTAATGTTGAATTTATTCATTGTATTGTTAAATGAAAACAAATGATGTTTATCGCTAAATTTGTTTTGGGCATGAATTGACTAAAGGAATATGGATTGACTTGTTGACCGAAAATTAGGGATTAAAATTAATAATTTGGACTAGTTGTTTGAAATGATGAAATAGTAATTAATAATTGTTAGCCATATTCATTAATTAAATTCTTGGAAAATTATTTCTAACTTGTCTATGAGATTAGAAAATCATTTAAGCCAACCATATTCAAGCACATTAATAAGGCCTAGAAATAGGATAATTTAATGAAAGGGATTTACATGGTGTCTATGAGAGATAAATTCAATTGCTAAAATAAAGAGTTTAACTAGTTAATGAATTTGGCTATTTTTATTAATTAAAATATTGGAGAATTATTTCTACCTTGTCTATGAGGTTAGAATTTAATTCAAGCCAACCATTTTGAACACATTAATGACACCTAGAAATAGGATAAATTAATGAAAATAGTTTGCATTCTTGTCTATGAGGAAAGAAATTATTAGTCCAAATTTAGTTTTAATTTCCCTAATTACTAGGTCCAAGAATATATCCATTTCTAATTACTCAATTCATTGCCCTTATTTGCATCAATCCATTTAAGTTTAATATTATATTTTTTTTTCTTTAGTTTATTTTTGAGCCATCATTAATATTTGCACAATTTAATTTACTTTCCTTTCCAAAAAGTAGTTTAGAAAATCAATCAAAAGTTTAATTTGGAAAGCTTCCAATAATTTGCGATAACCTGTGACTGGACTTAAAATCAAGAAGCTCCTCCGCCATTCCTCGAGAGACACGATACTCGGGGAAAAACCGAAAGGTTGGACTCCGTTTTACTACAACGCCGCGAAAGCGGTTATCAGAGATCAATCTTGACTGTTGCTTGATCTACTTGTTTTGTTCCACTTGAATGAGGAGAGCATGGTTGGTATTTGTCTTCTTGTGACACATATCAATATCTTCACTTCAACTTGTTTCCTCATTTCAATGCAAAGATAAAGATGGATTATCTTTACTTCTTTTGTGCGTAGAAACTTAGTATTAAAGTTGAGTGATGTTTCAATGCTTCCTTACAAATAACAAAATACTTGCTTTTAGTAAAATAAATTCATAAGAAATTTATAATGTGATAAAAATCTCTTATAAATTTACTTTCTATCAATTTGTTATTTTGACTGCAATTTGGTCTTTTGTTTAATTGTTTTTGTGCTAAGAGAAGAGTGAGTTTGATTTCAGATGCTTTAATTGGAAAATAAGGTTTTCAGCCGACTGCCAAGTTTTCAGCTCGCTGCCGAAATCTTGTGTTTCAATTAGCTTCCTGTTCAATGAATACCAGTTAACTCTTTTTCGTACCTTTTCTTTCTTTTTTATTATATTCTTTTTGTTTAATGGTATGTTTCTTCTCTTTTTACTACTCTTTGCTTTTCTTGAGCACTTTATCACTAATATAGGAGCACATTACAATTAACAAAGTAGAACATAACAAGAGAATCTAGTCTAATACAAGGATAATTAAAAAGGTATGACATCATCAAAACAATACATATCAATCATCAAAATATAAGGGACATAACAGACACCAGCAGATAAAAAGTATCTAATTGCTTAATTTTCAACAAGTTGAGGAGTATTTTGATGTGCACTAATTAGTAGTGCATAAGTGTATGTTTTTATGTTTGATTTGTGTGTATTGTTTATCGTTTTATTTAGTTTGTAAACATTTGTGTGATTTTAGTTGTATTTGTATTTTAGTACTCATTTGTAAGTTGTAAAGTAGAGTTAGGATTTATGGTGTTGAAAAGGAAGACTTTGAAGTGAAGAAAAAAGGAGATTGGACTTTCCAGGAGCTGAAACCCGACCGGGTATAACACTTCACCTGGTCGGGTAAGATTTAACAGGCGAAGGTGGCTGGAAATTACACAGACCCGGTCGGGTCCCCTACTTGACCCGGTCGGGTCAGATGTGACCCGAAACACCAGAACATGCCGAAGATCGCCAGAATGTGGAAAATATCTGATTTTGACCAAACCCGGTCGGGTCAACTAGGGGACCCGGTCGGGTCAGACACGACCCGGGACCAAACGACGTGCAGAAACATGAGAACATGGCGAAATATTTGATTTTGACGTTTACCCGGTCGGGTATGTCCATTTACCCGGTCGGGTAAATGTCCAGGGTGTTGAAAACACCTATAAATAACCCCATTTTCCTTCACTTTTAATCATCCCTTCTTCCATACTCTTAAGCTTAGTTTAGAATAATATTTCTTTTATATTTTTATAGCATGTTTAGTCTCCAAATGAGGAGCTAAACTTCCATTTCTTGGTGTTGCTCTTGAAGCTTGTTGATTATTAAAGTTGTGAGTTATTTTCTTAACTTCTTCCCTTGAATATTAATTATTCTCTTAATCTATCTATATATTAATGTTGGGGAGTGTTGCTGAGATGACAATTAGTTAACATCTCGACATTAGTTATAGTAGTATTTATTTTCTTCCTCTATACATTAATGTTGGGGAGTGTTGCTAAGATGACAATTAGATAACATCTTGACATTATTTATAGTAGGATTATTCATATTTAATCTTCTTCCTTGAATATTAATTCTTCCCTTAATCTATATCTATGTTAACGTTGGGGAGTGTTGCTAAGATGACAATTAGTTAACATCTCAACATTAATTACTACTAGAAACGTTCAACGAACCGATGGTTAATCGTTGATGGTTCCACAAGTAAGTAACTTCGGTTTATTAATGCACGGTCGTGGTTAATAAACTTAAGAGGGATTAATTTTGTTGGTTAAACCGAAACTGTTGTGTTGAGGTTATCAATCTCAATTGATTTCATCAAGGAGTTAAGAGATTAAATGCTACTATCAAGTCGGTATATGGCGGTGTTCTATACTTGACTAATAGTAAGGGTTATTAATGAACGGTCGTTGTTAATAACTACCCTCGATGAATTGGATATACTCCTCGATTGAGTATTCGAGAGGGGATAAGTCATAGATATAACAATGATCGACTAAAATATATCAACAAGTGGAAAGTAGCAATGTCAAGTCCTTTTTATCTTTGAATTAAATCTCATATAAGTCCTTCATCTTAGTATTTAATTAATTAAATCACACAATCAAAACCCCCCTTATTTACTAGTTTTACTAAAAAGAGAATTATTCCTTTCCCTGTGGATACGAACTCTACTTCAGTATACTACGTATTAGTGTTAGTATTGAATTTATTTTGACGCACCGTGACAAAGTGCACGTCATATTTCTGCAAGGCTTCCTATTCATAGGCATAATTGTAAAATCACAAATAATTTTGAGAGCTTATTTTCCCCTTTTCTTTTTCAAATAAAAAGAAAACTAATTTTTTTTTAAAACAAAGTTCTATATTTATACCCTAGCGAGAGCTGAGGGGCGAGCGACTTCGTCGTCATAGTGTGGCGCTGGTTTTTGCCATACGGTAGTACCGAGGAGTGAGTCTCGGACGACGGGTGCGGCAGGGAGATGGAAGACGCAGGTGCTGATGGTCGTAGGGAGGACCGCGAACAGGAAAACGAACAGATAGGGCAGCTCGCTGCTAAGTACGGAGTGTTGGGAATTAGGGGTTTACAGGATGAACTGCTGATTGAAGATGAAGAGGAAGGGCGATCGAGGCAGTGAAGGCAAAGGAATTTCTGGTGGTCGAGATGGTTCTCACGAACAAGGTCATTCGATTTCCGTTCTTCAGGGATTTCATGGCTGATCTATGACACCCGGGCAAAGGTATATCTATACAAAAGATTGGTGAACGAAGGTATCTGTTTAAAATTTTCCATTCTGTTGATACGGATCATGTTCTGGATAATGGACGATGGTTGTTTGATCAGAATTTGATTGTGTTAAAAGCTATTCGACCGGGTGGTATCCCGAGTAAGATGTTGTTAGATGAGTTTGAGATCTGGGTACAGGTTCATAATGTACCATACTGCTTTGATAATTTGGGAACGGCAAGGGGATTGAAAATCATTTGGGGGAACTTATCACTCGGGATGAGCAAAAATTTGATAAAAAGGGAGAATTATATGCGTGTGAGAGTCCGTATGAACACTGGTAAAATGTTTAAAATTGGGACCACGCTAAGAAATAGTAAGGGAGAAGGGTATTGGGTAGACTTTAAGTATGAAAAGATGTCTAGTTTCTGCTTTTGTTGCGGTGTGATTGGACTCGCAAAGAAGTTTTGCCCCCTTCTGTACGAAAAAGAGGGGCAAGCTATAACTAGACCTTTTGGACCGGGGCTTAGAGCGAGTGGAAGGAAATTGAAGCCAAGCATGTGTAGCAAACGGCTGATCTCGGAAGGGAGCTCCTCTCGTGGTGGCATATACCCATCAAATAGCGCGAGGTCAGTGCGGGATGTGGACTCAGATGAGACAGAAGGGAGTACCAAAGCTCGAACAGGGAATGCTATGCTCTCATATGGGATAGAAGAGGAAGGAGCGCCAGGAGAGCTGAAGAGGAGAAGAACTTGGGCGGATCAGGCTAGAGAGGATGCTGCACAAGATGCTATGGCGCTGGATCCTCCAAAAAACGGGGTAGGGGCGGGTGCTGGTCTCAGACCCGCCAGATGATCTGATGCTGGTTACTACTCCTTTAGCCGAGAAACTTATTTACTCTATTTATTTTGTTTTATTTATTTCCCACGTTTTGGATATTGTTTTTGTTTTGGTAGTGTTGTGTTTTCCAGCAAAAAAACTGGTCAATCTAAAACAGGAGATGAGGAGTCGTGTCTGCAAGTCAAATGACCCATAAAAGCCCAAAGCGGGATTAACGAATTATATGACTTCTACGGAGATGATTAATTCAGAATCTGGTCCTTGGGCGGACGATAGACACGATACTTGTTGTCACTTTGTAACCTGTTTTGGTTGGATCTGATTAGTTTCGTTTAAAAAAAAAACTCAAAATTTTCACACTTGTACCTTTGCTCGATCAAAGCGACGCCGTATCTTTCACCGTCTTCATCAGCTTGTCTTTTAATTATGACTCCGCACTCCGTAAGCGCGACTCTAGTTTTGGGCACTACATCAGAAAATGAATTTAGCTGTCGCCGCATCAACATCGACCGCCCTTCTCCTCTTCTGCCGCCGTCGCCTCTTCTTCCCATCCCGCCTCAAAGCCCTAATTTTATCTTCATACTCAAGCAGGTTGAACTGTATGCCTACGTCTACATCGGCGGAGGGTCCACTATCGGAGTCCAAACTGGAGAAGCGGAACCCGAATTCGCAGCCTTGGCTTATCGTCGGCCTCGGAAATCCTGGAAAACGGTTCAGTGGCACTCGCCATAATGTTGGTAACGCAAAACTATCCTATCGTCGAACTAGAAATTAGGAACTGACTTGGATCAGTAATGTTTCTCTTTGATTGATCCAGGTTGGTTTTGAGATGGTGGATACAATAGCTGAAGCAGAAGGGATATCAATGAGCAGTGTTTCTTTTAAAGCCCTCTTTGGCAAAGGTTACTCCAGACCTGCTCCTTTTATCATTTGCATTCTTTTCATTATCCAGTGTCAAATTGAATAGGATTATTAGCTAAATATATCACCAACTATCATCAAATTCACAAATTCATCTTTTACTTTCACTTATGTTAAAAAAAGAATCAAACTTCAACTTTTCTCACAATTACTCTTTCAATTGATGAATTTGTAAAACTAAAGAAGAAATTCATATTTATGTTTCATATTTTTTTTCACTTCTTTCTAGTTTTAAGTTTACAAATTTGTATTGCTTATATCTTATTGGTATTGATAAAAATATATAGTTTTGAAAAAACAAAAGGAAGGGCATAATTGTTGAAAAAGATGAAGTTTGATTTTTTTATAGGGAAAATAGAAACTAATAATCCAACCTTTTAGCGATCTTCTTACAATAGTCCCACCTTTTGATTATACCTGAATAATCCAACCCTTGCAACTCATCTTCATTCACTGGTCCCTAACCGGTTCATGACCTGTTATTCCAAGTTATTTTCCTATATTTGCAAACCATTATACCATAAATCTCACCTTTCACAAAAATAATATTTTGCAAAGATAAGAAAATAACTTGGAACAACAGGTCATGAACCGGTCAGGTACCCGTGAATGAAGACGAGGTGCAAAGGTTGGATTATTCATGAATAATCAAAAGGTGGGACTATTGTAAGAAGACCGCTAAAAGGTTGGATTATTAGTTTCCATTTTCCCTTTTTTATAAAAGTGAAAGAGTAGGATATATTTGTGAATTTGATGATAGTTTGGGACTTTGGGATGAAATCAGCTATTAATCCATTTGAATAATGGATCGTTACAAGCTCTGCTATCGTTATAGCTAATTACCTGGAGATGATCCACAATAGAAAACTAGTATTACTTGCATTTTTCCATTCTTTACGGCAGTGTAAATAATTGACATCTGAGAGAGACAATGTAAATTGATTGGGATTTTGTTATTATGAAATCACGTTTGTCACCTGTCGTAATATTTAAGAAGTGTAAGAACATAAGAGTTAGTGTTCTAATGCATATCTTAAAGAAGTTTTTGTCTGTTATGTTTTTCTAGGTTTTATTGGAGAGGTTCCTGTTATACTCGCGAAGCCTCAGACTTTTATGAATTTAAGCGGTGAGTCTGTAAGTTCAATCTACTACACCTATGTTTTCATTACTCTCCTCCTTTTCACATGGTGTTATAGAGATTATTTATTTTGCTTTGTAATATTTTGGGTTACTGTGAACAGGTTGGAGCAATTGTTTCATATTACAAGATTCCTTTGAAGCAAGTTCTTGTGGTAAAGTATTTTCCTAAATGTAAGATTAAAGATTTATACTACCTCCATCCCGGTTAAAGGTTCCCATTGCAAAATGGCATGATTATTTAGACAATAATTAGATAAGATAAATCAAGTATATTTTGAGAAATAATTTTGATATAATTTTTAATACTTGATGATTAAATTGTCATGTAAGCGTGTAAATTCTTTCCTAAAATAGAAATGAGAACCTTTAGTTGGGACGTCCAAAAAAGGAAAGGGAAGGAAAGGGAGAACCTTAGAATGGGACGGAGGGAGTAGTCTTTTTGTGTAACTGGATCTAGTCACCCCTTCCAGATTTTTGATGACATGGATTTACCTTTTGCAAAGTTGAGGTTATTGCCTAAGGGTGGACATGGAGGACACAATGGGTAATTTCTAGCCTTCTATTTTCTTTTGCCTGAATTTAGGCATTTAAACTATATTGCTCATTTATCTGTTTGTATTCAAATTTACCCTATAATTCATCCATTTCTTTTGGCTCTCAATTTGTATTGCTTATGTTCCAACTCTACCTGTATTCGATTAGGTGCATTCTTTCATTTCATTTTACACCTTTAGTCTGGGAAAAGAGTATAAGACACACATGTTCTCTCATTCACTTTATGCATTTCATGTTTTTGTGTTTTAAATACACAAAAACATGAACTATAACATTTATAAGTAGCTAATAGTAGTGTTACGGCCATGATGCGGGCTGTGTTGTGCTTTCGTCATGGTTATGTTGAACTTTTTAACGTACTTTAAAACACATTGGTATTGACATAGCTGCTATATAAAATGAGAAGGTGAACTGTATTAGGCTTATTTTGGTGTCCTGCTTATACACTAATAATGGGAATAGATAAGAGCTTCTGAGTTACTTATTCGGCCGAAAGAAGGTTTCCATCACCTTTCCTTTCAGAAAGTTCAGCATTCAACCATCTTTTCAGCCAAATGACCCTTACTAAACACACCCTAAATATTACAGTGTTATGCAACAAATGTCATTGTTACTCGTGCAAACAAATTTCAACAAATGAAAACTCTTTTTGCCATTGGATTCAGAAACTGCAGTTAGGGATGTGCTTGTGCACTCTTAATCTGTTCCCACTGTTTTCCTTGTTTAAGGATGAGGAGTGTGATTGATCGCTTAAAGGGAAGCCGTGATTTCCCTCGTCTCAGAATAGGTACTTTTAAAAGAACTGTAGTTTTCACAGCTTTTGATACTTTTAGTCCCCGGTTACTGTTCCAGTGACACCTTTGATATTTGACTATTAACTTTTCCACTTTTAGTATTTCAATTATTGTGCGAGACACTTTTAGTGGTCAATTTCAATATTTTCCACATTTAGTCCCCTAGTATTGCCAAATCGACATTGTTAGTCATTCGATTAGATTTTCGAACAATAAATGAAGGACTAAAAATTCACTACGATAATAGTTGAAAGGCCAAAAGTGTCACTTTTATGAAAGTAAAATGAAATATGTAAAATTTCAAAGGCGGATATCAAAAGTGTCTTTTGCACAAGAGTTGAAGGATTAAAAATGGAAATATTGAGTACCAAAAGTGTCGCCGACATAATAGTCGGAAGATTAATAGCGTCAAAAACTCAGTTTTCACGTGTTTTGCACTTTTTTTTTAATTAGGAATCGGAAGGCCTCCGGGGAGAATGGATCCTGCAAGTTATGTTCTTCGTCCATTCAACAGAGAAGAACGTGCAGAGGTATGTGATAAGTGCCACCTTTTTGTTAACACTTACCCATCTGATTTTTCAGATTTTTTGGTAAACACTATAACTGCTTATTTTATTGTTGGGATATATTTAGGGGAGGTGATGTTTATGTACTTGGGGTTGTTTTGCTTGTATTTCTGTTTCATGCTCATTTTTGTTTTTATTTCTTTCAATTTGTACTTTCAATTGGTTCTTCAATAAAATTTCCTTTTAAAAAAATGGTGTGGGTGTCCGAATAATCAGCGCATAATCAGCAATTAGAAAGAAGAGATTTCCTTTTAAAAAAATATTGTCGGGATTCATTATTTAATGGGAAAAGAGGCAAATAAGCCCTCGAACTATTAGTCATTTTGCAATCAGATCCTGAATCAGAAGACTTGCAAATACACCCTCAACTCGTTGAAAATTAAGAAATCAGATCCTGCTTTACCCGTTGGTGCAGGTAAGGAGACAATTTACTCATGAAAAATTAAGGAATCTGATGCCTTAATTTTCAACGAGTTGAGTGTGTATTTGTAAATCTTCTAGTTCGGCCTGATTGCAAGATCACAAATAGTTCGAGGGCTTATTTGTCTTTTTTTTTCTTATTTAATTCATGGCACGGTGAAAATAATTTCTCCATAGAAAAACTTTTTTATTGAACTCGCTGAATAAATGACGAGTAATTGACCAAATCGCTCTTATTGTTCTTATCGTTTTTATTTGTTCTTGTTGATTTTTGGGAGAAAATGGATGTGCTTGAAATAGTTTACCCTCAAGTGTCAACCCTAGCCATTTATTACTTTGTATTTTGTTCTTGTACAAGGGCATTTTAGTCTTAATCATCATTGTTCCCTCACTCTTTTCCTCCTTATTTCTTAGCTTACCAACGAGTAATTATTCCAAATAATTTCACTCTCACCTGAATTTGAATTTCTCCTTTATTATTTTTTCATGAAGTTCAGATTCCATTCATCCTATATATTTCTCCATGTGTTCCAATTGAACTATAGCTTATATGAGTGGGTTGACTCAAATCGTTTTTAATGAAAAAATGCTTCACAGTATAGATTTTCTTAGACAAATGTAGTCCTTACCAAGGTTCTCACTTCTCATATGTTGAATATGTCTTCTTTTCAGCTTGATTTCACATTACAAAATGGCTTGGAGGCAGTGAGAATTCTAGTGCTTGGGGACTTCAACAGAAGCGCAACATTTGTTAACAGTGCCAAACCATTGCAACAATTTAAATAGTGCTCCTACCTAAACCAATATACTCATAATGTGGGTAGAATTGTAGAAACCAATGAAGGTTAACATATGCAGTTTGAGCTTGGGGAGCACCACGTTTGCATTCATTGGCAAATATACAAATATATGGAGTAGTAAAGCTTGTGCTTGTGTCAATGACCATTTAATTTTTTCTAATAGTTTCAGTCAATAATTATTTCGGAGTATCATTGACTGTGCTGACCGTCCTGTTTCAGTCAACAATATCAACACCATTAATAGTTGGGACCCTTAATAGTTAGAGCATCTCCAATGCTATAATGTGCACGGTGCACATGTGGCATGCGTCATAGCCACATAAATATTAGCAAATAAATAATCTCTCTCCTTATTTGAATGATTTTACATCATTTTGGTAAGTTTTTCCCTGCAATGTCAACATCTAGACGGTCTCCTTGACATTGAGGAGAAAAACTTACCAAAACTATATAAAATCGTTCAAATAAGGAGAGAAAGAATTTATTTACTAATATTTATGTGGTTATTTCTCATGCCACGTGTGCACCGTGCACATTTTACCATTGGAGATGCTCTTAATGTGTAAATGATGGTATGATTTTACACGGTTCATCTGAGAGTTGACCATCTCATTAGACGACACTTACACGGCGCTGCCTGATGACCAGGTGAGTTAGCTGTGCAGGGATCATCATTTCCCTCAAACAGTTGCACATTTCCCCCCTCAAAGAGATGCACAAATACCACAAGTTCAGCAAAAAATATCATCTGATACTGTGTTCAGTGTTCATTAGTTTATTTAAATGAATTTCAAATAGTACCTTGTTGTAAAGCACAATACACATACAAATGAAAAAAGATTGTTTCTTAACAACGTTTAGATCTCTTCCAAACAATTGTGACTTTGACAATGTTAAATTACACCATGTGTTTGGGACTAATAACAAAAAAGGTAGTTTTGGCGGTTGTTTAGTTACTGGTTCGTTTTTACAAGCTGATACAAGTTTGGATTAGGGATGGACCCGGGCCGGGCCTAGCCAGTAGTGCTGGACTCGGGCCGGGCGGCCCGGCCCGGAACCGGCCCGGTTACTGTTTGGCCCGGCCCGGGGCCCGGTGGGTCCACTGGTTCGGTTTGGCCCGGCCCGGCTGCTGGGCGGTTCGGGCCCGGGCCCAGGTTTTGGTGAACCGGCCCGGCCGGTTCGGGCCCGGTCTGGGCCGGATTTTAATTTTTTTTTTTTTTGAAATTTTTTTAAGTTTTAGGTTGGATTAGGTATTTTGGGCCATTTGAGGTGGTTTGGGATGGTTTGGGGTTGAGGGGGAGGGGTAGGGGATTAAATAGGAGAACAAAAAAAAAAAATTGGGCCGGTTCGGCCCGGCCCGGCCCGGCCCGGTTTGGCCCGGAACCGGGACCGGAACCGGCCACCGGCGGTTCGGGCTCGGGCCTCCCTTTCCTGGCCCGAGGCCCGGCCGGGCCCAGGCCTGAACCGGGCCCGAACCGGCCCGAGTCCAGCACTAGGCCTAGGACCGGCCGGGCCTCAGTTTAGGAAAGTGGGGGCCCGGAACCGGCCCGGGTAACCCCCGGGTCCGGTTCGGGCCGGGTCACCCGCCCGGTTCACGGGCCGGGCCACCCGCCGGGCCGGGCCTTTTATTAATTTTTTTAAATTATATATTATATTATTATACAAATTCTTATTAAAAACAAAATTCAAGTGCATTTATTTGAAATAGGAATTACATTTGAGAATTGAGAAAAAAATAACAATATGAAATACATTTTCTAATAAATATCAATTGAGATTTCCGCCACTGTTGGTTGTTGTTTTGCCTTTGTCACATGACTTCATATGTTTTATTGACATCCCGACTCCGTGTGAACGTCCCAAGCAACACTCTTTCTTGCACCACTTGCAAGTTGTCCACCACAGTCCGGTCTTCGGGTCCTTGCACTTATCAAAATTGTTTTGCATAAGAGAAGAATTACTTTTCATCTTTAAAATGGTAAATGTATAAGTAGGAATGTAGGATAATAAGAGAAGATAAAGATGGAGAAGAGTTGGAGAAGAGGTGTAGAAAAATGGTAGAAAATAGATGTATTTATAGATTTTTTTTAACCCCACTCCCCACACCACCACCCCCGGGACCCCCCCCTGCCCCCCACCCTAAGCCCCAACAGCTATATAGCCGTTTGGGAGCTATGTTGTAATTTAAAATGTTTTTAATTTTTTTTTTGAAAATTATACATTTTGTAAAATAAGTTAATTAATTTAATAAATTAAGTAAAACTATTTTTACTTAGAAAAGTGGTTTGATTTATAATTTACAAATGTTACAAAATAGGTGTATAGGTATTTAAACAAATTACATATTGCAAATGTATTTTTAATTTAAAAACAAACTTTAGATTTTACAAAAATAATTTGAAGTTGTAACTTGTAAGTTTGTAACCAATTAATTAATTTTATGAAGTACAAATTTACAAATTAATTTTATTGAATTGATTATTGAATATTTTTTTTTGTTGATTATTGAATTGATGTACACAATAATTTAAAATAATTCAAGTATATTTATTTCAAATAAGAAGTACAATTGAGAATTAGGATGAATTTAATACATGTAATACATTTTGTAATAAAAAAAAATCAATCGGAATCTCCGCCTTCGGTGGTTGTTTCCTCCATAAAGTGGCGGGTGGGAGCGATGATCATTTCTTGAGTTCTTCGTTGGGCCTTTAACCAATCGTGGAAGCAAACTAGCGTCTCAAGAGAGCTCGGGCTCAACCTCGTTCTATAATCGGTTAGGACGTTGCCGGCCGCACTAAATTCTTGTTCCACGGCAACTGTTGATATCGGCATTGCTAGCACTTGCTTAGCCGTCTTTGATAAAACCGGGAACGTTCTTTCATTTTCCTTCCACCACTTAAGAACGTCAAAGTCATCCCCAACTTCATAATCAACATTCAATGTTAGATACAAAGAATGCTCGTTAACTGAACTTTGTTCGGTAGCGGGAGCTGCTCTACTTTTTTTCAAAAGAGAACCAAATGCAGATTTTAAAAGTGATTTTCCTTTAGATGAAAAAGATGTTCACGGCATGAGAGGGGGTGCATTACCATACTGTGCATGAAATTCATTATACAACTGATGAAATAAATTACTAACCTCGTTGTATTCTTCTTTAGGGTCGATGGGATTATCATCGAACTCTTGAGTTGGAAAAAAAGAAGCATAATAGTAATCTATACAACTTGGGAACGAGGCAAGTTTATAACGAGGATCAAGAACAAATGCAATAACATATATATGCGGAACATGTGAATAATATTTTAAAAACTTTTGTTTCATGAAATCACAAAAATAACTAACGTAAGCGGCATCGGAAAATTCTAAAAAAGCGTCGGCGAGATTAACAGCTTCAGCAAAAAATTCGTTTGCGGTAGGTTTATAAACATGACTAAAAGTTTGAGTTGCGTTATTAAAATATACCAAAACATTAACAATTTTTTCACAAGTGTCGATGTCAGCCGGGTTTATAATATAGTTACAAGTTTGTCTTAAAAAATCAGGAAAATGATCTTTATATCTAATAAGTATTTGAATTAAGTTATAAGTACTATTCCAACAAATAGACAAATCTTTAGGAAAAGCACAATAATTGACACATCTTTCCTTCAAATATTGCTGCCATTGCATTTTTAGTGGAGTGTTAGCCCAAATCAATTTAATTCCCCCCTTGACTACCTCCAAAGCATTTCCTAATGCCGCTAATCCATCTTGTACACACAAATTTAGAATATGACATGCACAACGTTGATGAAAAAACCTACTCATCAATGTAGAAGCACCACACAATTCACGCAATCTAGGTATAGCAGCAGTATTATTTCTAGCATTATCAAAACCTACAGCAAACACCTTATCAATCAAATTATACTCAATTAAAATACGCTCAATCAGAATATAAATATTATCAGCAGTATGACGATCATTGAATTCACGAAAAGCAAGAACACGTTTATGCATATTCCAATCATCATCAATATAATGTGCAGTAAGACCCAAATAGTATAAATGATGATAAGTATCCTCCCATATATTGCTACAAATACTAACACGTCCATCAAAGTTTGCGAAAAATGTTTGTAATTTTTCTTTTTCCAAGTTATATTGCCTTATAACTTCTTTTTTAATCGTTTTGCGACTATAATTTCTAAATTGAGGATTTAAAGTACCTTGAGCATAATCTCTTAAAGCAAGACTTTCGGAAAAAATATAAGGTAAATTTTCTTCAACAATTAAATGAGACATACCAGTCAAATGTTTTTTATCATCATAGGAGAAATTACCAAAGGGTTGAGAATTTGCAAACCTCGATATTTGTGTTTGCTTCCCCTTGCCTTTGTCTATTTTCGCATACTCCACAAGATGGGCGGACTTAAGATGCCTTGTCAGACTCCCGTATCCGCCAGAAGTTCCCAAGCTATACTCTTTGTTGCAATGATTGCAACTTGCGTACCATTTATCGGCATTTTTGTCTTTCCTTTTTGTAAAATTGTTTTCAATAATAGGAGATATAGATTTCTTACCAACTTGGGATGAACCGCCCTCGTCCTCCAACTCTTGGTCATCATCCGGGGTGGCGTGAGTCCCGTCGCCCCCCACGTCCTCCTCCGCATTGTCATCCTCGAGCTCCTCTTCATCAATGGTTGTCGGGAATTGTTGTTCTTGTGCAAAGCGTGGATCATTTTAGGACAATAGGTTTTGTAGTTGCTCGTCGAACATCGCCATATCATCTCTCCGTTGGTAATCCTTTTCAAAATCATCTAGACTTTGAAAAGAAGACTCGGCCCGCGCTTTACCTTTGCCTTTGCGTGAAGTAGGACGAGTCGCCGCAATCTCCCTCTTGCGGTTGCGTTGGAGATTACCCATATATCTACAGAATGTCTACCACGCTCCATCTTTAAAATTGAACAAATATTAAATGATATCAAATATTTTATATGAGTACAATAGTAATAATAAAATGTGACTAAGAAAACTATAGCAAATTCGAACTAAAATATGAGTATATCAAATGTAACAATTTGTTTTCCTTGAAAAAAAATTCGAACTACTTGTAATTAATACTTTAATGAGAAATGTAGCAATTAACTAATATTAATATGAGAAATGTAACAATTAACTAGTTTAACTAATATTAATATGACAAATGTAAAAATTAACTAGTTTTTTTTTTACTTTAATGAGCAATGTAGCAATTAACTAATATTAATATGAGAAATGTAACAATTAACTTGTTTAACTAATATAAATATGACAAATGTAAAAATTAACTAATTTTTTTACTTTAATGAGCAATGTGGCAATTAACTAATATTAATATGAGAAATGTAACAATTAACTAGTTTAACTAATATTAATATGACAAATGTAAAAATTAACTACTTTTTTTTACTTTAACGAGCAATGTAGCAATTAACTAATATTAATATGAGAAATGTAACAATTAACTTGTTTAACTAATATAAATATGACACATGTAAAAATTAACTATTTTTTTTTTACTTTAATGAGCAATGTGGCAATTAACTAATATTAATATGATAAATGTAACAATTAACTAGTTTAACTAATATTAATATGACAAATGTAAAAAATAACTACTTTTTTTTACTTTAATGAGAAATGTAGCAATTAACTAAGTAACTAGTTTAACTAATATTAAATGAAAAATGATACTAGTATGTACGTAACAAGTAACTAATATTTTTTTTTTAAAGGGAAATGTAGAGAAATATAACAATTAACTAATTTAATAGATAAATGACAAGTCTATAAAATGTATGAATGTGTATAAGTCTATATAGTTTATATAACGTGTAAATGTATTATAAGTAATATATAATATAATGTT